ATAATAAATAGAGCTTATTTATTAAGGTAATAAATGTTATAAAATAAACAAGAACGTAAGGATATTGTTATTAAATTAGATGAATAAGTTAGGATTTTTTAAGAAAGAGTACTATTTTATTAAAAGAAAAAGGTATAGACGGACTAGACGTAAGAGTTGTAGTCCAAAACTATAACACGTAACAGGTTAACAGGCCCTTTCTCTTCTACGAGGCCCTAAACTATAGACTCATAACGCATAAGCTGCGGCTTATTTATATGCGCAAATTTGGCCCTGGTTGTATAATAAAGATTATTTCAAATTTCGCATAAAAAAATCAAAAAAATTCTTCTTGAATTCGTACTTGGATCCTTCAGGCGATAAAAGAGACCTTTGCGGTGTGGCTTAATAATAGGCTACTGTATATACAGCTTATATTGTACTGTACTACTTAAATAGAAATTAAACTATAAATTAATCTTTTAAACTGGGCTTACATAAGAACTTTATAAATAGATCATAACGATTTCTATGTATAAGTACAGTAAATAAAATACAATAATCCTGAATTTTGAAATTTCTTCAGTACATAACAAAACATGCCTCATTTTGTTCTACATAAATAATTTATTATTTATGAATTTTATTTTTACTAAATTAATTATCTTGGCATATAAGATTTATTTGCAATTTAGCAAATAAATTCATTATTTACTTAATTATTTAAAAATATTTTAGGTAATATCATGAATAGTTTAATTTTCCGTCACTAGATGGCAATATGATTTTCTCTACATTAATGAAAATAAATTTATTTATACGTTTACAGTTTCATTGCTTTTATACAATAATAATTAATTACATTTATAAAATTATTCGAAAAAAAATTATAAAAATTATTTTGAATAATTAATTTAATGAATAAAAACAGAGTTTAAATAATAATTTCCATAAATGACGAACGAAAAGTAATCAAAAATAAAAAAAATATATATATAATACGTTGTAAATATTACCTTAAATTAAAAGAATTTTATCTTTTAATTTTTCCGATAATTTTCATTATTTTTCGCTTGAATGTTAGAAAGAATTTCGAATTTTAACAATTTTCTTTATATAAATATAAAGCTTACATTAATTTAATTTACGTATTAATAATATATTTATGACAAAGTGAAGTTCTTTGTATCGAAGACAGCTTTAATAGCACTAAAATTAGATTTGTATTGATTATGTCTACGATACAATCTACTTTAAAAAATCAACATGTTTCCATCAATAAATTTATTGCGAAGGGGAAAACACGTAATGGACTATACATTAATTTAAAGTTTTTAAAAAAAATAATATTTTGATGTGAAGTATCAAACTACACACTCTATTAATTACGATTATAAATTTGTATACGTATTTTTCTTCGAATTTTTCTTAAAATCACAGCAAACTTCAAGTCTAGAAAAGTGATTTCTTGCTGAGAAATTCTTCGATAACATTAACCCTTCTCTATTTTCGGGCACGTTTCTTTTTTATTTCAATGGATAACAACATTTTGCAACACGTAGTCACTTAAGCAATTATCACCTAACAAGCGAGAGAAAGGGCTGTTCCTTGTCACGACAGTTACCACAGCAACCGTTAACTATCAACTGTTGCCAAATCACCTTTTTTCTCTTCTTTTACATTATACAGCACGATTTAATTTCTAAATAAATATAGAAAACAAAGTCTAATATGTAATTTAGCTATAAATTTAATCGAAGAAATTTAATTTTATCACGTTTTTAAAACAGTAATAATGAACGAAGTAATGGTCTAATTCATACTAAAAATTTATGAGGTGTAATGTTTTTTAAATAAGAAATTTCTAATAATTTATTTAATAATTGTAATAATAATAAATCAATTTTAGTTAATTATCTTCTTTATATTAATATTTAATATATTACTAAGGACAATTTCAGCTTAGTCTTCAATATATTTTCTGTTTTTCAGAGATAGATACTGCCAAAGAAACGAAGTTTATCAGTTGATATGATATAACATCTGCAAATCAAGTAATTTTTATTGTTATTTTTTAAACAACAAATAAGAAAACTATGAAAATTCTTTGGTGTTTATAAATAAATCCTATTAAAATAAGTATAATAAGCTTACTTCTTAATGGTTTACTAATCTTTAAATCCTATTATACTTAAGAATAATCATAATAAATCCCATTATTATAATTCTGAAATGAATCCTATTATAAATAATCCTTTTCTTATTTTACAGCTTTGAATATAGTCAAGTTATTAAAAGAATACAAGTTGCCATTTTACTGTTTATTTAATGGAGAATATTGTTATATTGCTCAATATTTTTCGATTACTTGTAATTTATCTCAGGTATTAATATATGTAATTCTAGAATAATATATAGGCCTACATGGAAGGTATTTGGATTCAGCACTAATGTTTTACTAAACTTAATATTTTAATTTGGAACAATCGACATCATTATACAAAACTTCTGTACAGTATTACGTCAAGAAAATGTACACCTAATTGTTAAATATATATTTTTTTTTTCATAGACAAAATTGGCCAATTATTTAGGTTCCTAAACGTGTAATATGTTGGTTAAATGTAGTTTTATTTTTATAAAACAAGGACATCACTACTTACTATATATATACAAATGAAATTTAATATATTAATTTTATAATATCCTAATATATTTTGAAACAATGTTTAATTAATAGAATTTTGTGATTTTAAAAATACAAAATTAAAATGTATTCAACGATATTAAATGTATATAAAACTATGAATTTTTGGCATTTATTTATTAATTTCCTTTACACATTATCATTCGCTGCAGTTACAAAGCAAGTATGTCACAGGTTCTAGTGAAAAAATACTAAATGCATAAGTGCATAAATATCGTCACTAAAGTCCTAGTGATAAAATAATTTTAGAATCTAGTAAGAATTTTATTTTCGACTAGAGTTACATATATAGTATTTAGCATACATATTCCATAATTTTGTATGGGTTTTAAAATTATTTTTTTCTCTCAAAAGATGTTTGTAACCAATAAATTTTTCAAATTATATCGCCAAAAATTTGTGAAAAAATACCTAAATTTTATCTTTGATCAAGGTTAGAGCGAAGAAAAGGCAGATAAAGTTTAAACCTCTGGGCTCTAAAGGAAAGTTTACAACACCTTTTCTCATTACTGATAGAAAATAATTCGTAAAAATTGGCAACGAGAAGTTAATTATTTTAATATTAATTATTGAAAAAAAACCCATATTTTTGAAAAGCTATTTTAGCAATGCATTCTGTTAAAAACGTGCATAATATATTATATATAAATTAGCCAGCGTGCCTCAATGCCTCTAATTTTTGATGTTTCCTTTCTTAAAAATTGGTTATTCTATAGAAAATTTGGTTAATGACACACACAGACATCTAAATAACCTTTATTTCGTCTAAACATGAAAAAAAATTTTAATTTTATAAAATAAATACGAAAAGTTTCTCACTTAAATCATTTGACATTTATAAAATTTAACGTGCAGACAGACACTGACAAGCAGTTAAGTCAACTCCCGTTGACTTAATAAGTATCAAATTAAATACTTCAAAAGTTTATTAGATATTTCATCTGAATATAAAGTGAATATAGTTATTTAATTATGAAAAATTATTATTATTATATAATATTTTCGCGTATTTTTAAGCTATTTTGAAATCAAAATTGTAATTACATACTTCGTGCTTTCATTTAAAAATAACTATTATTATATTAATTAAAATTAGGGAAGTTAATGTTTTATATAATAAAAATCACAAATATATACTGTATTACAAATAAGTTTATTTTCTTCAAAATTCACAACAAAAATAGTTAAACAATAACTTTTATATATATTAATAATTTGAAATATTAACGTAACGATTACCTTTTTAAAATATTCTAACATATAACACGTCACAGTACTTAGTTAACGTAATCGAAATCAGCATTAGTTTGATAATACATTTAAAATTAACCAATTAAATATTATAACAAACATAAAAAAATTTTTAAATTATTAATTATTTAATCATTAAATGGAGTGTAAAAGATGGTTGTGACATATTTCGTTCGAAATCTTTGAATCACACCGAGAACAATGATGTCTTCCTAAAAAACAATAATAATTAACTGTCATTAGTATTAACGAGAAATAAATCTATTAAATTATATTTAAAATTATAGAATAAATTATATAATTTATTCGAAATTTTTATATTAGAAAACATCATTTATTGAAAGAATTATTTTGTGCATAAAATCAAGCTGTAATTCGTTATTATAAGAAAGTATCGTACTGAAACTAAGAGAATAAGAATTGTTAGTTAAAAAAACATAAATTTCATATACGCGAGACAATTTTATTATACTTTTTAAATAAATTTTAGATTTGAATTTATGATGATAAATAATTTTTTCTTTAAAATAGAAATTAATATTAAAATTTTTGTAGTTAAATTTCAAAAATGATATAGGAAATAACAAAAAATTACTTAATTAAGTTAGCATTTTAAAAATATAAATATATTTGATATCTTTAAAATTTCTAATTATAGGAAAAACAATTTAAATTAAGCCCTATCACTTGGGGCCAGCGCAAACTTTGGGTTCGGGCCTCACATTTACGGAAGCCTCACAAAAGGCATTTGTTACAGATTATTCTATAGCATTTCTTGAATATTTAAAATTTCTTTAAATTTTTATAAATTTTATTATTGAAAAATATCAACTTTTTTAACTTTATCTCTCTTTTTTTTTTAAATATAATGGGGGCCTCGAAAGGTAAGTGGCACCGACTCCTCTCGACTTCCTACACTGATTTTAATGAAAGTAGATCTAAGAGATTAAATTAATAAAAAAAAAGAATATATCTATTACACGTATGNAAAAAAAAAATATATATATATATATATCAAGATTAATCTTAATGAAATTAAAATATTTTAATAGGTTTGAAATACCTTTTCGCCATTTCTACAAGTTTCCATTCATTAAAAGAGCAAGCAACAAATACTCTGTTTCCTCCTTGGCACCATCTGAATACAATGGGCAACGATGATTCACTGATCGTCATACACGGTGTTAAAGTGCAGCATCGATGTCTTAATTCTTCTTCCTAAACAAGATAAAATTATTAATATAACGAAGTTAATTTATTATATACCAATCTCAATAACAATATTTACTTTATTTCTCTTATCTTCTTCTAATTTTGATGGACTAAATCGTACAAAACGTTGTAGAATCCTTTGCGAAGCGGTTTTATATCTAACAGGACTACAAAAATAATTCTCTTCAGAAAATGGTGATCCTTTAGAGGAATTATTACAAGGCGAAAATTCATTCTTGGTTCTTAATGCACAAGGTATATGAATGGGCTCGGTTTTAACCATATTTCTTTTTATATTAATTTTTCTAGAATTTCCCGATCGTTTAGAATTAAACAGGCATTTGTTTGTATGACTTGGACCGTTTCCCATCTAAAAATATATCAATCAAAATGTAATTTAATTTTAATAATTAAATTATATTAACTTATAATTAAAACTAATTAACTTACATTGAAATTTTTAGGAAATTTTTTTGTTTCGAAATCATTAATCTTTCAATCGAGAATTAACTCTAAGCGACGATCTAATTTGCATATTCGAAAGTCTTTGTTAAAATTTTTTTTTCTTTTTTGTGAGTAATTAAAATGACTTTTCTTAATTATTTAATAATTCTTTTATTTTAAAGATTAATAAAATAATCTTTAGTGAATATTTAAAATAATTTTCTAAATTATTAATTTTTCTCATTAAAATAATGTTTTAAAATTTTTTTACTTTATGAAAAATGTAGAAATAAAAGAAAATAAAAATAAAATAATAAAATCATGTTTTTATTTATTTTTATGAACTACAATATAAAATATATTTTCAGTTATTTTTTTTTACACGAATGATAATTTAATGAGCATTTTCTATTATAAAAATATAAAATAAAATAAAATAAAATGATGGTTTATAAATGAATTCATCGTTTTATTTAATGATGAATCAGCTTTTAACATGCAATAACTATTCTACAAAAGTTTATATTTAAAAACATTTAAAAAAAAAAAAACGAATTTTTCGTTCAATACAAATTTATTTAAAATACAAATTTCTTTGTTTTTTCCCCCAAATTTTTAAGCGTTTAGTTGTCGTTAATAGCAAACTGTAAAATCCATTGAAGTAACTTCTTTACTTCTATGTATATTAATGGACATCCATCATCAGCGCATCTGCATCCGTAAGAAGTTCGAAGTATGCCAACTAATTTATCTTCATTGTTTTCATTAATTATCAAGCTTCCTCCACTTTCTTCCTAAAAGTTAGAATATTTTAAATAATGAAAAAAAAATTTTTTTTTAAAGCAATAGAATTAAGAAAAGGACAGGACTTACGAGACACGAAGTAGGATGCGATGTTTTTCCACACATTTCCTTATATTCTAATTTATAAAATGTTAAATGGTTCTCACAATATTGTTTCTTTGTTATTTCTGCATTCATTTTCTTAAGGATATAACGTGAAGCTATTAAAA